CCGTCGTGATTTCGTGTTAGGATACTTGATGGCCAAGCCGAGGATATGGTTTGAAATCCCTCTCGATCCTGATCATTTTTTTTCTTCTCATTATAGGCCATATAGTGGTAACTGGGAATGCCGACGGCCGACAAAATACACCAACAAAATCGGCTGTTATCACAAGCATGTGCATGGGGAGGGGTAGAGTATAGAGGGGGGAGCAAAGTAAGCCCTATAAATTGACATAATAGGGAGGGGAGGGGCTCTGCGACAAACCTTCGCCCACCCCACCAAAGGTGAAGCCCTGCGCACGCAAACGGTTGTTATGACCCCGTAACAGCTTGTAATAATAATTGTTCGTGTGTAATGTCCCAAAACCACCATACGATTATGAGAGACGCCGCAACGAAGGGCTCTCTAGCAATTTCGACCACCTGGGGTTCAACGAAACTTGAACTGATGGCGCAAATGTTTAGCCAGGGACGAAGAACGTAAGAAACGGAAAAGCGCACTTACTTGTTTGTCTAAACACTTTCGCCACCAGCTCAAGTCCAGCTATGCACAACTATAGCTCGACAGCAAACGTCACCTGGTGTTCTTTAACGTGCACCTATAATTCTAAGCACACACGGGCCTCAAGCATTTTCACCTCCTTCGAAAATTCGACCACGGCGACCCGTAACAGCTTCCACAGTCCGAAAAAAAATGGACTAAGGAACAAGACACAAATGACATTAGTATAATATTTCTTTCTTCCACGCTGTTGACGTACTCTGTCAAGACGTACCAATTCACCCGAACCATCTCGTTAAGAAGTGTTACCACTACTTCCAGGCTCGCCTTCGTGTAAGCCGGTACAGCACGTTCGACCGACCGGAGGCTGTGCGCTTCTCGGACGAAGAGGCCAAGAAGATGAGCACCATCCTGGTCGTGCTGTGGGAGCAGTACGTCGAGGCCGTGGCGGGACACCAGGAGCTGCGGTTCGTGCTGTACGAGCCGCTGCAGAAGGCGCGCATCGCGAGACTGGCCGAAGCCTACCTCGTGCTCGACAAGGACATGGGCGCCGTCTACTACGACCCCGTGCTCGGGTCAGTCTCGATTCCATAAGCATGTGCACGGGGAGAGGTGGGAGAGAGGGGCGCAAAATCCGCCCCTTACATTAGGAAGCATTCGGATAGCGTTCTCTATGCCAGCGGGCCGTAGCGTTTGCGTTTGGGCACCATACGAACTTTCGAATCGCGTTTGTCTCCCACAATCGCAAAGGTGCGGGTCTTGGGGATCTCGTGCTATTTCGGATTTTTTTGGGGGCGGACCGCAGGAGCGAACGGCCGTTCGCGTTACGACGCATGCGCACTGGCAGCGACCGCACAACCGCAAAGGCTTGCGGTACGCTATTCAAGAACTCCCTATCGACTTGATAAGAAGGGGGAAGGGGCACTCCGACGAACCTTCGCCCTCCTCCTGAAAAGGAACCCTGCGCACGCTTACACTCGCCTCGACGACCGTCGCTGTAACGCCAAAATAGTTTCGAAGAGTTCGGGCGCACTTACCCGGTGAAGTGTCGAGGCAGAAGCGACTGACGGCTGGCGTCAGTAATGTTGTGTAAGCGTGGCATCGATAGCACTCACCATGAAAGAGTTCAAACCATCTCGACAACAGAGCAAACTTCGGGCGTGTTAATGCGGCATTGGCCTCGAGAACATACCGTGGCGCCACCTACGTGATGACGTCACTCATAGGATGTCGAGTTCTGTTGTTTGCTAGAACACGGCATTTTTCTGCGCTTTTGCTGTAGACACCGTGCATACTTCCCTTTGTTTTGAAGCTCGGTGTTTAAAGAAGTCGTAAGACCTCATCATGCGGGCAAGCAAACTACGAATCGGTGTTCCCGGTGGCCCACTCGTGTCTAATTTGCATCGTAAAATCGCGACTACCAACCGGTGCAGCCATGGGGGGACGATGCAAGTGGTGTCGCGAAAGTAAAGCTGCCGTATTCCACAACTACTACCCTATCTGTGACGTCAAAACGATCGCAGCGCTGGCCTCTCTAGTGGAGGTCCTCGCGGCCAATAGTGAAATACAGCTTAAATAACGACGGGAACACAGGAAGGAAACATACACAGCGCTATAACAAACAACAGTTTGTTAAAAAAATTTTTCTAACATATGCAAAGAAAAACAGCCTTATCAAGGTGCATGCCAATGCAGATACTTCCTATCATCTTGGAAAATCAGATCGAAGAAATGTCAACTCTCTATTCCATAAGATGATTGACGGCGAATCGGCACAGTCCTCGCCCAATCTTTGAATCGTCTCAGCTTCGACCATCTCACTTCACTATCTCGACACAACACGTGGCAAAAACGAACAACGGCTAATCTTCATCTTTAGATATTTTCCAGTTTTTTCTTTCTTTTTTTCCTGTGCTGTTTCCGTTTTCTTTGCCGTCTACACAGGGTGTCCCACATAACTTGAGCCAAGAATTTGAGAGTGACAGACATATAGGAGGTGAATTGAACCAAACGCATACTACTCGCTCTATCCTGTAGTTAATCAGGCTTTTTTTATTTCTCTCCATACTAATTATTAATAATTCTTAATTACCTATTTTTTATTTCTGGGCTGGAACTCTAAAATGTGAACTGAGATGTACAGCACTTTTCAGAAACCACCGACTAAATTTTTTCCTGTACGATACATCTTGCGCTGTTAATTTTTCCACGTTGTAAAGAAATCCCGCAGAATGTGAAAAAAAAGTCGTGTGACGGACCGCGAGCGCACTGCTATACTGCTGCTATAGGCTTTCTTTACAACGCTGAAAAAATAACAGCGCTCGACGTATCGTACAGGAAAAAATTTAGTCGGTGGTTTCTGAAAGCTCTCTCTGTATACATCGCAGTGTTCATATTTTGGGTATCCAGGCCATAATTTAAAAATAGGTAATTAAAATATTGTATTAATTAATATGGGAAAAAATAAAAAAGTAGCCTGGGTTCCAACAGGATGGTGCGAGCATAGTACGCGTTTGGTTCAATTCACCACTGAAGTGTCTTTCATTTTCAAATTCTGGGCTCAAGTTACGTGGAACACCCTGTACATGCGCGTTTCTGGAGAATATAAACCAGTAATAAGTCAGCGCCTTGTGTGTCCTTCCGGCGGTCCTCGTCCATGTCTTTGTGGCGGTTAGGAGCTAAAGCACTCTGAAATAATCGAGTCTGTAGTAGAGCAAATTGGAACACGGAGAAAGAAGGAGGACAGGACTAGCCCCTTCCTCTTCGCCCGTGTCCTAGCATTGACGTAGCCAAGGGGCTGGAGGGGCCACTACCGTTACCCTTTGAATCCCTTTCTCTAAGGTGATTCGGGGTGGCAGGCAGTCGAGTGCCTCCCCCTACCCTGTGCGCAAGCCTATTACTAGACCGATCAAGTCTCCCCAACATAAGCTTCGTATACACTTTTTCAACGCGTGGTTCGCTTCTGGCCATTCACAGCGAGGACACGTACCGGCGGATGGTTCGCAAGATCCGCGGCTCGAACTACTTCAAGTCGTTCCCCGTGCTGGAAATCGACTGCTGGCCCCTGGACGGCAACCACAAGAACACACCCATCATCTTCGAAGAGCGCTACCGACCGTTCTCCGCAATGACTCCCACCAGCGTCGACGGCAAGTTTACCACGCATTGTACAAATGTTGCTATAGTGTTTTGCTCGACGTTACATACGTTCAATGTCAACGTTATCAGCGGATGAGTACAGAATACGGGCTCACAAAACATGCTCGAACATCTCGGTGTTACGAGTTTAAAACAATAGTATAGAAAACAGTCACTTTTCATTGAAAAAGTGGCGCAGGAGCTCGTGCCCCATCAGCAAAATGGCGACAAGCGAGGCTATGTGTGTGCGTTTTTGACGTACTGCTCTACTTTCTTTCGTTGTTCGTTTCCTCCTTTCTTCTCTTTTTTATTTCTCTGTTTCTTGTTTTTTTTTCTTTCTGTTTTGATGTTGGATTATTTCGGGCGTTGGATTTTCATCCACGTGCTCGGCAGCACAACACTTCACTTGCTACTGGGCGTCAACGACGGTCGCGCATTCATAGCAAGGCAGAAACGAGATGTGGCAACGCGAAATGACAAGTCAGCTCGATATGAAAATCTAATTACTACATCAGGAACGGCTGATCGTCGACAAGTGCGTGATCGGGAGAGCATCGACTGTGTTAAAACAGCGCACATAAATGTGCGTGTCACCCGCGCACCACCAAAAGCCACATTTTTTCGCGCTTTCGGGCACCGGCAGGCATCAGGGGTCAATTCTCGTGAACATTCGTATATACATCATCTGCTAAATACCGACAGACAATATAGCTTGTAAGGTATCTTGAATTAATTTCGAAGTTTGCGTGAGTGACCGACTCCATAGCGGCGGGGAGCTGGACGAGTTCTCGCTTGTTCCGTGGTCACGAGTTGCTGCTGTGATTGGGCTTCTAAATGTATTTATTTGTTTATTTATTTATTTATTTACAGGATTTCTGCTGGCTTCAAAGTGAAGCCTTAAGCAGGAGTGGGTAACATATAAATATGCACACTGAACACTTTCACAATATATTAGGCACAGAGAATGCCACGGACACACAGGTTTTAACGCGGTAAAAAGAAAAAATATACAGTGCATGACATGCAATTGCGCATAGCATAATACCTATATAAGTGCCTACTAACATCACTTGTGTACTAACAACGCAACGTCACAAAACGAAGAGTACAAATATGGCAGTAAGACATGCTATAAGTTTTTTAAGCTCCGATAAGAATGACGCCACTGTCGCCGCCTCCACAATGCCACCAGAGATTGTGGAGGCGGCGACAGTGGCGTCACCAGGGATTGTGGAGGCGGCGACAGTGGCGTCATTCGTGCCAGCTGCGCGTCTCGTGCACCGGGTCCGCAGAGAGCGACTCGAGCGGCGGGAGGCTCGACGAGCTGGCCGAGCAGGCGTCCGTCCAATTCGCTGACGGGCGGAAGCATGGAGCTGCTGGCGCTCTCCTCGCATCCCGAGAGCGAGGTGTGCAACTGCTGGCGACAGTTTCGCGCCACGGACTTCCGGTTCCGGCGGTCGTCCTCGCTTTCGCTGCCGCCGACGCTGGCCGAGCTCTACCAGGGTACTGAGCCGGCCTGCTGCTACCGCATCAACGACACCGATAGGTGCGTCCTCACTGCTGTCTACACCGTATACAACACAGAACTTTATTAAGTTCTGGGAAACGCTACTTTTTCAGAGCAACACCACGGGGCGCTCGCATGGGGACTTGTGCCCCGTAACGAGGGGCATCGCTAAAGTACACGTTCGGTACTAAGCTCACCACAGTCGTGGGCAAATAAGTAAGGAAAAAAAATAATAAACGCAGCCACTTCCTAGCGTGAAAGCATTGGCGAACAAGTGATCATAGCGCATCTAATGCTTGAAAAGTGCAATTACAATGAAACCGACTCCATGATAACAATTCAATCTGATAGCATCCACCATGTATGGCTAGTGGTAGCGCTGCTTCCACTCTATGTTTTTAAACCTGGCGCGAACTGCTTTAATATTTTTTTAATATAAACAAACGAGAAATGAAAGTAAAGAGTAGTATGCGACTGCACGTGTTTGTCCCGAGTATATTGCCTCGACGTATCACAAAATAAAGACCCATGTACAGCTGCGCCCCCATGTCGCGTTAGGGAGCGTCGTAGTCGGCGGTTATTTGCTACTCGTTCAGCAAAAGCAGGAGTGCTCCAATTGCGATACCTTTATTGTGATTTGTTAAGAGCGCACTTTGCTGCGACTGTTTCTTTTCGCATTCTTGACCGCTAAAATTCTGTTTCAGGTTCGCTCAGATGAAAAGGAGCGTGTGGGAATCCATGAAGATACCCGTCCACTGGCATACGTAAGTCATCGACGTGTCTTTGATTGAATAATGTTGCAGCTCCCAATGGGGAAGGGGGGGAGGGAATCGGAACAGTTACGCACCGATGGTACCATGACTGAAGAAACAGCGGAGCTACTGGACTTCACCTTCTTTCTCTCCTCCTCACGATCAGTTTCCTGTCCCTACCCCCACTATGCTATAATTTCGAAGATTATGCCATGATTTACCTTCTCCTTTCTTCATTTCCTTCCTTCTTACTCTGAGACCACTCCTCCTTAGTCTGCTTGGCCCACACCCACCAGAGATTGTCACTGGCGAATACCCGCCGAGTGTTCTGCGGATATCAGCGGCTTGACCTTCAGCTTAAAAGAACACTAAAGTGAATGAAATAACAATTTAGGCGAGAGTGAAAGCTCAATGTATGACAACGTCTAAAACAACAATATTATAAACAGCAGTGCCCTACTTACCAATAAATCAAGGTAAATGCACAAGAATACATGCGCCGCTGTAGGACATCCTCAAAATGATCCTGATGACGTCAGAAGAACCACCTACAATTAATCACTAATAATCAATCTAGTTGCACTAAATAAGAAACCTTCCGTGCATCAAAAGAGACCCAATAAAATGTTGCTTGTTCGTTTCTGTCTGCTTCATGGAAAAGAGCGTTACTATGAGGAGTGGTGTGAGTGCTTTCAAATTCAATTTTCGCCTAGGTAAACTTAAGGTCCTTAGATGAAACAAGTTTCCAAGGTAGCGACACCTTTCCCTTTGCTCCTCACCAATGTACTTGGAGCGCCCCCTAGAAGGTTCAAATGTTTCATGAAAAAATGAAAGTTTGGCTTCAGCTGCTACGGTGAATAGGTGTAAATTAAACAATTTGGAACAAAATGAGTCGTACAATAAACGGTTAACTTTATGAACATAGATGGTACAACACAAGAGCAAGCTGAATCTGCGTCACTCATCTGGCAACGTTGTGCAGTTCTATATTTTACACCACTAGCCATGGCGTCTCGCATCGTTCATCTAGAGTGTACTAGACTCTAGTTCATCGTAGTTCGTCCAGTTCTCCGAATGCGTTTTGTTCGTGCTGTGACACAGTGAACGCGCTTCTTGCTTGATCCTGTCAGTGACGCTGCGACGAGCGATTACAGTGGCTTGTGCACACGCAAGAAAAAACTACGGCCAGACTGGTACGAACACTTGACTAGGAGCCCTGCGATTACGGTTTTTCTTTAATGTGCCCATTGGGACAATTATGATGCCAGGTGATTCTGATGCGGTGCTCGGAAAGTTCCTGAAAAGTGAGACTTCTACTGGTGAGGTGTCTCGAAGCAGCGCGTTTTGGCTCATGCGTGAACTGGTCAAGCGTGAAATGTTTCTGAAGGTGCGTTGATTACACCCTCCAGCTGCTCTGTATACGAGCATACACACAAGTATTTGTACAAACTGGCGTGCACTAGACGCGCGCCTGGCGTTTCAATAAAAAACTCGCAAGCATTTCCCCGAGGGTGAACATGGTTAAGTGCGAATGCACGGGGTGATGCTATGAGGGGTATTTATTAATTCGCACGATTATATTTATTATTCACACTATGGTGCCTTTATGGTGTAATGGTTCCTGGGAATCGCAATTTGATCACACGGGGGAGTTTACGTTAACTCACTGGCGAATGCCAACGGATTTTAACTTTACTCCCCCTCATAGCATCACCCCGTGCATTCACACTTAACCATGTTCACCCTCGGGGAAATGCTTGGTAGTTTTTTTATGAGCGATTTCACGGAGGAGCGAGCGAAGGGGGAGGGGGACGTGCGCAGCGGCGTTAAAGATATAAGGCGCGTTACTGACACCAATATCAGCGTCACGTCCGTGGCTTATTCGGTAGAGCGTCGCGCTGCGGCCCGCCAAGTCCTCTTTCTTCTAAAGATAGAGAGAAGACTGCAGACGCCGCCGACGGCGGTGGATAATTTGGGGTCGCTTATAAAGTGTATTCACACTTAAAACCGACAAATAAACTCACTTCGCAGATCCGCGTCGACGTACATTGACGGAGTTGCACGAAAGCGTTCGCGTGAAATGTTTCATAGCTATACTTCACGGCATGCTTCATTTCGGATAGCACAATGTAAGTTGAAGAGAGCGAAAGCGTTTTCCGTTGTTTTATGGCAACGCAGCATTGTTGAAAAACGCGGATATTGCATATAACGAGCACTACGAAACAATCTCGGTCGACTTGGAGCAGACTGAAACGCTCCTCCTGTTCTGTTTATGTCCTGGCTACAATTTCGTCTTTGGTCACGGCAAGAATCCAGCTGAAGTTGTATGCGCATGCGTACTCGTTTCGAACCTTTTGCATAACGATAAATAACACCACCAGCCATTTGCAAGATCACGTGCGAGGAATGCACAAATTACAGACCCGGATGGCAGAGAAAAAGAGGAATAATTGAGAGAGTGAGGAGGACGGCTCGAGAACAATGAGTGACGCTACCTTTTGTTTCATCTAGAGACCTTAGGTAAACTGGGCACGTCATGCCATCTAGCGGGACCCAGTTGAACCAATGACGCCTGCAATTTTCAAGGCTCTGGCTAAAAATTGTTCAATGGCCGTTGTTATTGCTGTCAATGTTACTCGACCTAGTAACATTGGCTGCAGAGGCCCCCGTAACTTTTCCTTGCTGCCATTATAGTGTCAACGGCCGCGCACTAAATCTAGGAAACGTTGTGCACAGCGAAAGTGACGTCAGACGTTCTGTTGAGGCGGGTATTTTCGAAATAAGCCCTTCCTTGGCACAAACGTAACACTACGAGGTTTCTGGACCGCAATTTCAACAATCAACGTCGACTTAATAGTTGCCTTTAGTGTCCCTACAGTAAAGAGAAAAAGATACTTCTCATGTCAGTGTATTGAAGAGAAAAGCGATTTTTCTTGCACTAGACTCCCCGACGCGCTGCGATCGGAGGTAGCTTTGCAGTTGCTGTGCCAGTTGTCACGTGACCATAAAGCGCGGTGGCGAGCTTTGGTCGGGGTATAGTGCCTAGAATATACTTACGTAAGTATATTCTAGGCACTAAAGTTGGGGCGGAGCCTACGTGCCACGATAGTCGCTACAAGCGCCTCAGTGTATCGACGGTGTCACAACCCAGTTTACAAAATAAAATAGGTATATACGTCCTAACTATGGAACAACGGTAGGCTGTCTCTTGTGACCTACCAACAAAAATGTTCAGAAAAACTTCAGAAAAGTGTTCAGTTTAGAGCACTATATAATCTTCTATGGAAGAGCGCTAAGCACACCCTGAGGTGGAGAGCAAAAAAAAAAAAGGCGAATTATGTGTGTTTAGAAAAGGTTGTTAACAATTTAGAGTGCTTAGTAATCTACAACGGGAAAGCAAGAAGCCGTCTTGTGAGCCTCAGATTTCATCAGGCCCTGAACAACAACAAAAAAAAATGCCCCCACCTCCTCGAACGGAATCATGAGGAAATGCGAAGGCATTGCGTAGCGTCCATAACGGCGTTTCGCACGTGAAAACACAGCGTTAGAAGAATAATGTTTTTTTTCTTACAGCATGCAGCCAATAGTGCCGTTCTCCGCACGTGTCATTTTTCTGCCGCGAATAACACAGAATGCGTTTCCAGCTCTAGTAGCTAGCGTTCACGGTTAAAAAATCCTATAAAGTGAACAAAGCAAACAGCGTTCACGTTTCACACTGCCGTCTCGAGCACACATTTCCGTATGTTCTTTAGAGGCGCCCAGCCAGCGAAAGGTCAAGAGGGAGGCGCGAGCGGACGGGAAAGTGGGGCGCAGAAGGGAGAGAGAACGAACGGCGAGAGAAAAAGCGGCGAAGCACTGCAGCTACCCTCTCCTACACTCTATCGCACCACATGCTCCGGTTGCTAGGGGCGAGGAGGATAAGCACGCGCACCCGCAGATTTCGCTATGGGAGAGGGCGGTAGACGGATCCCGACGATCGCCTGACATAGCCCGACTAAGAAATGCGTTCGCATTAAAAAAAATGTTTGTCGAGTTGAAGCCCTATATATACTCGTCTATGGGAGAGCGCTAAACACTCCCTGAGGCGAAGAGCACCACCAGGCGAAAGACCAGAAACGCATATTCCAGAACAAGTATTATATCGTGAAGACAACAAGGAATAATGTATTGCGGCCTCCTACTTGGTCCTGCTTCTCGCGTGCAATGTCACCGACATGTTTAATAGCCTCCGCAGGCCCATACAAGATCAAGGTGCCATTTGAAAGGAAAAAAATTATTTTCCCCTATCCTTCTATTGTAACTTCGTCGAATGCAAAAGTATCTTCTATATTCTCAGCTTTTGTTCTTACTGAATCCGGGTTTTATTAGATGCGCTTTGTCTTGATATTCGCTATATATAATGCGAACTCGTTGTGACGCGCAGGCCTGACGTTCCGGAGCTGGTGCTGCTAAACTTTCCCAGCCCCAAAGCACCGAAACCCGAAAACCTCCACCTGATTGTCATGGTGCACGGACTGTACGGTGAGTGCGGACGCCCTTTGACCCGCAGATCGGAAAACTCACTCGCGAGTCGAATCGTCCAGGCTCATTCAGACTCGATGCGACACTTGACCTTGAGTCTGACTGCGGCCGACTGAGTAAAACTACGATAATTTTTTTTTGCCTCAGCGAGTTCGCCTGAGAAGGCCTGTATTATCGTCAGGAGCAGCAGTGGCAGCGGCGGCCTGACCCCGATCACTGCAGGACAAAGGCCTCCCCCATGTTTATTTAGGCTAACCTTGTCTTCTTCTTGTTGCGGATTGTTGTGAGCCGGACTGAGTTCAGCTGACAACTTAGATCAATTGCGACCCTAGTCAATTGCAAGGAACGTACTACTAAGGCAAGAGCACCGCTGGTCATTAACAATGACACTCCAAGAGAAGGCAAGCGCGAAGAGGGAGGTAGAAAGTTAGCGGGGAAGATGCGATTAAGAGGTCTGTGGGAATAACGCGGCGCCAGCAAGCTCAGGGCCAGGTTGATTGGCGAAGCATGCATGGGAGAGGCCTTTGCCTAGCATTAGACGTAGTCTGGTTAATGGTGGTAGCAGAGTTGGTTGTGGTGGTGGTGGTGGTGCTGGTGATAAGCCTGGTTCTGTAGAATTCTGGTGACACTCCGTCCGACTGGACACTGCAAGCCGTGTACTATACTGTGATAACCAGTCTTAGGTCTTGGCCAAAGTAGAAAGCCTATGCCCTGACCACAACTTTTATGATGCTATATCAGGCCACGTCTTGCTGACGTCACACGAAATGTTACACGTTGTACCAATGACGAAACTTGCAGCGCAAAAGGAAGTACACGGATGAAGAAAATGGAGATAGGACGATGTGCTCACTTGATATTAATTGTTGAGGGTTCCCGTCTGAAAGGTGCGCTTACTTACAACCGACCGCTTAAAAAGCGAAGGAGACGCATATACGTTGACCAGTTGTGCCCAGGTGCTGATGCTGGCTGGACCAGCTGGACGAAAAATATATAAATAAAGCAGGGAAACAAGGGGATGAAACAGATCTTTCCGCGCGCATGGCTACAAACTTTGGAAGGCTACAGCTACGAATAAATCCGCTATTCACGCGCCACGAAACATATAAGTTCGTTCGTCTCTTCCTCGGTTAATCAATGACGGGGCTGCTCGGCTGCTGGCACGAACGTCACGGTCATGCGATTCCGGCCTTGGCGACCGCATTTTGATGGAAGTGAAATAGTAGGGGCCGCTGCACTGTGTCAGTACACGTTTAAGAACATCAAATGGTCGAAATTTCTGGAGCGGCGCAATTCATAATCATATCTTAGTTTTGGGCCGTAAAGCCCCACACATTAAAACAAAAAGTCTTGTCAAAAAGAAGGATGTCGCTTGCTCTTGCCATTGTCACAAGCGAGATTAAATAAGTCGGACAAACAGGCTAGCAATGTAGGAGCTGCAGTTGTACACCTTCGCTTGATAACCGCATGGCCATCGGCACAAGCTATAACAAAACTACCCGAGAGATTGTAGAGGCACTGAAATCAGAAGTACAGCTTCGAGTGGGTTATCGAAATAGATATGTTAAAGTGCGGAGCAGTTTAGGGGCTCGGGCTGTCGTACGCCGCAGTCGTCTCATGTATAGCTTGTAGTAACGCTGGCAAGACCACGCATAGAAAAGCCACCTAGTGTCATATTGAGCGTGTGCTTGCGTCAAAAAAAATTATTCTTGTTCTTCGAGAACCTCGATGATGATATTAGGCGTGGAGCACTTCAGACACCAACATGCCAAACCAGGTAAAAAATAAAAAAATTCAAGCAAGCGAAAGATAGAGAGTGAGAAACGAAAGGAAAATAAGTAAAATTGAAATAAAGAGAAATGGAGAGAGAGAGCGAAGCAGGGCAGGAAACTGGAGAAGATAAAAAAGATAAAATCGAAGAATACCAAAGGCCCCTACTGCAAAGCTTCCTTAATTTCGTTTAACAAAACACAGTGAAGTGGCTGGACAAATGGCTATGCTTAGTACTTCAGAAACTTTCTTCGTCAACTCACCCCTCCCCCCACGTTCCCCTGTGTATTATTTATTTGGCACAGCCAGTAACATGAGCGCCTGAGCACTGCTGGTAAGCATTTATGCATCTCCTTGACCCATTAAACAGTCTGTCAGAAGTGGGTCGTTCTGAGACGGCGACGAAACGTGCGCTGCGTGCATCGCCGTGTGTCACCACCAAGAAGCCCTTACTTGCATGATTTCACGTTGTACCTTATTAAGTCCAGTTAAGAATCGATCGGTATTTTTTTAGTTCCTCGCACTCGATAGTCAATTCAGGTAACCTATAAACTTCCTTATTGCTCTGTCAAGACATCATTAGCGTGTTGCAGGGAATAACAAGGGAAGTCAAAACTAGATGTGCAAAACAGGACACACTTTCAAAGTTCGAAAGCAAAGCCCGAGAAGCTTCTTCTTTAAACCATTGTTATACTGCCCACGCGTGCCTGCTAATGCCGTACCAATGCGAAGTCAAACGCTCCAAGCAGGTAAGCAAGCTGTCAATTGGTAGAGCAAGTAAACGACGAATCACTAGACGTCCACTGGCATAACACACTATTACTCTCCTCAATGAAACTTGCTTGCTTCGCAGGCCGGAGGTGCATGGAAAAATAATATATTTTCATTAGTTTCTTCACGGCCAGTGTCACCAACATAAGCGTCATGTCCAACATTTTTTTTTCTCTGGCGCGCAGGTTGCTCAACGGATATGCGTCTTCTTCGCGTGTTCCTCGAACTGGCCCAGCCTCGCTCAAACATTCGCTTCCTTATGTCCAGGGCGAACGAGGTAAGCCGCAAGTCACGCGCATGCGCGGATTTCGCACCATGAGTAACTGATAATTGTTTGATGGGACGCAATTGATAAGGCATGGCCTCCGAGATTAGTTCCGAGAATGGCGCGTTGCCGGAGCTAATCACAGAGGCAGCGAACAGAAGTTTCTATACTGGATGTCATCAAACTCTGCCACTGCTGAAACCTGATTGGCCCACATGACTGCTATGCGTCCAGTCTGATTGGCTTGAAAAAAATGCTGTCATTACGAAATACGAAAATATGGCGACACATGACAGCGTCTGGAACAGCACCGAGAAACTTGCCTACAGGTCCTGCTGCCGGAGGAAGGCGCTAGTACGATGACCAGGCAACTATAATCTCTTGAAAACTGCACGCGGAAGGTGCTCAATTTAGGAAGTAAAGCTGTATATGTCTCACTCTTAAGAGCAATCGGTACCTGTAGAGTGAGGAAAGTACTTGAGAAGCTTGCTAAATGCTCAACACTAAATGCTAAATCGGGACGGTATTTCAGGCAATTCAATAAGTTACAAGAACACCAGTACATTAGAAGTAATCGTTCAATAAGCGCAATTCCGGTGTTCCAGCTATTGTGGCTCTCAACACATACATACATACATACATACATACATACATACATACATACATACATACATACATACATACATACATACATACATACATACATACATACATACATACATACATACATACAACAGAGAACCACGTCATCCCGTAAAGCGTGCTTTGCCTGCAAAGCTACCCTGCACAAGGAAGAAGCTACACCCGCAGTCCAGGGGAGGACATGTTGGAAAAGAGGCAGCTGTAGCAGTCGTAGACTCTGGAAGTCAAGAAAGCAACACACGCGGGTGCTTTAGAAGTTCCAACGTTAAAACTAAAGGTCAACTACTTCACGACATATAGAGAGCGAACGGCGTGCTGCGCTTCATGGACCAATCAGTGGGACAAAAATAAACTTGTTGGATGGTGTGTCTCTGCAAACAAGTTACTGGGCCTCATTACCTCATTTATCAAGTAGTACACACACACACACACACACACACACACACACACACACACACATATATATATATATATATATATATATATATATATACATACATACATACATACATACATACATACATACATACATACATACATACATACATACATACATACATACATACATACATACATACATACATACATACATACATACATACATACATACATACATACATACATACATACATACATACATACATACAACCACCACAATATTTCAAACAGCATTTAAGACTATATTTAACGGAACGTTTAAACGTTAAATTTTGGTATAATCCCACACCTGAACACCGCTGTCAATATATTCTCAGAATACCTAGTAGTGCTTTGTCGTCGCTTTAAAAGAGTTGCAGTTCTTGAAAACCTGAAACCAAAATGGAATGTTACGTAAGATACAAAAGTTAACGATAATTGAAGGGGCAATTCCGGTACTTACAACACCATATGCGCACAAACACACACACACACGTGTGTGTGTGTGTGTTTGTGTGTGAATATAAATTGAGTAATTACGCAGAAATAGCGCACGTATGACCGGACATGCTACGTGAGGAGTACGTATGTCCGCGTAACACAGTGTACTTAAAGTTGTTTCTGCACGTGTCGCCAATAGTTTCGATACCACAAGGGCTCCAACCTCTTTGCTGACGTTCAATACATCTGTGCAGCGAGAGGAAACGTTCAAGGACTTCGACACGCTCGGCGCACGACTGGCGAAAGAGATCGTGGAGCACATAAAGAAGTACTCCAAGAAACCGGCCAGGATCAGGCGAGTCCTGAGGAGCATTAATGCGATAGTTTGACAATATCATGCTGACGTACACGTTAAGAAATTATTACCAGTTGCCCTATTTGGGGAGTCCCGACTTGGCTGGCTAAATGATACACGTTAACTCTTCACGGGGCTCATGACAGTACTCTCTTCGAAGATAGTCATGTCTCGAAAACGAGTGTATGATTATATATATATATATATATATATATATATATATATATATATATATATATATATATATATATATATATATATATGTAAGGTCGCTTTACGTTTCCACCACTGCGTTCACGCAAACAGTTAAACAGTTCACTCAAAGAGAAATGAAAACTACTACAAACAGCCGTGCAAGACCAACTGGAAATCAGTCTCAGTCATCTTCCGAGTCCGCTGTACACATCACTCAGTGGGATACAACACATATGAGAGGTCTTATCATAGCCGATAAAAGCTTTCTCAAATGGCACGTGTTGTTAATTGCGTTTCATTGGCGTTCTCAGCGATACGGGTGACATACTTCCACTCTTGGCAACACTTCACCTCGCTCAAGTGGAGCCCTTTAAACGTAACACGGTATGTGCAACGAAAGCAGAAAGTGGTGTGAAAAAAATTACCATTACGCATCGAGTTACACAGAGAGTGCGATGAGTTCAAATCTTGCGGCACAAGATGAATATTTGTGGATGAAAAAAAAGATGAAGCAACGTTAGTCAATCAAACTTTTTATACAAATTTCACCACTGTGACGCCACGTGTCCTTATCATGAGGACCCGCATCGCCATTTTTCGCTTGTGCTTGCTACGGATATGCTTGAGTCAATGAAACAGCGCTTTCCTTTTAGCAATGAAATAGTAATCGTGTCGTGTAGTGCTGAGCTAAACCACCGTCAGGCCATTTACAGTGTCTGTTTTCATCTACGATTTTGTACGTCTTGAATATCCAGTTGTTCTTTTGTGGGGTATTTAGATAGCACTGAAATAAAGAAAGGTATACTACACACAGATGACATGCACTCCGTCTTTTCTCTGCTTTCTGTCTTCTTTTTTTCGATTCTGTATTCCTAAGCTTTTTCAGTGCTGGAACTCTCCGGAAAGACGGCTGATATCAGAGGGGATTTTTAGAATCGCAGTGCACAGTATAGAGTCGTGATGGACCGCGAGAGATCCTTTTTCCCCGAGCTTTCATGCGACAGCAAAATGATATCGAGCTTCCTTTTCATTTTATTCGTGCTGGGTCTATATATAGATATACGCTCCGAACTTCACGCGTTCTTCGGATTGACAACATCCTTCGGAAGATATGCGACTCCTATGCATCGAACACGTGTACTTGAAGCTCGTGCTGGAAAATTTCGATCGAATTATTTTTTTCTGTATTCTTCTATACACATATCGAACGGGAATTAAGTTTCAGCTCGCAAACTTGGCGTCCGACAATTCTCAGTTCCATTATTTTCATTTTTTTATGTGAAAGCATAAGCAGAACGAAACATGCGCGAGTCCGCAGCATCAAATATAAAGGCGACTCTAAATAGAGAAGTAAAGATTAGCTTTGTTAAATATTACCTCTGAATAATGCCAAAAACGAAAGATTAATTTTACTCAAAGGAGGACATAGTAAGAAAATGTGTTAAACAAAGGCACGAAAAAGGAAGGCGCATCAATTTTTGTTTCAGAAATCGCAAGATAGGTGTGACGTCATGGATATTGACAGAATCTCGCAGAGGCTGTGCAATTAGCATGTGCGCGTACGGATGTATAAGGTTTGTTACAGATGAGGCGTGCATTTCCAATAAACTTTAGCTTCTTGGAAATCGCAAAGAACGTATTCGGAGGGGGGAGCGGGCTGCCCCTTCTGCTTCTTTACGTTGGCACTTATTTAAACGCGTTGGCACTTATTTAAACTTCATACAGTTATCGAGACATCATCTGAAATTTATCTGTTGCGCTCAACGATGAATGGTCGAGTTCGCCCTATCTGCCCTTCTGTGATTTTCGGACCATTCGACCGAGCCATCGATCCCACCACAGTAGAATTGTCTCAGTGACAATACATACACACACGCCCACTGACACGGTTGTTCTATACCGCGCAGCTTCATCGGCTTCTCGATGGGCAACGTTATTATACGCTCGGCGCTGGCCAAGGCCGAGCTGAAGCCCCTGCACCGCTTTCTGCACACCTTCCTGTCACTGTGCGGGCCGCATGTGGGAACCGTCTTCAACACCTCCTTCGTCGTCAACATGGGCAAGTACAGCTGCTCGAATGATAAATGGTTTTTTTTTTGCAGCGAATAGTGCACACAAACGAAGCGACATGACACCGTGCGCCAGAACGATTCACGCTCGCCTGCAGCAGGAAGCACTACTTTTTACGGGCACGAAGAATGAGTGACCCTCTTGTTTCTCTTTCAAGCACGTCCGGTAGAGTATGCGCTTCCGGTTTTCCGAATAATCGAAAAATGCGCTTCAAAAAATATAACTGGTATGAAATCGATGGTTCTGGCTCTCCTTAAGAGCTATATTTCATGTATACGTGTGATATAGAGGCACAAGTTTATTAAAGGTTAATTAGCTGTCAGTATAATAAACGAAAATTCAATGAACGAGTTCGTTGAAAGAGCAGACGCTCTTCTTGTAGACAGCTGGGATAGCGGTGACACCTGGCGGAGTAGATCCCAACCTCGCGCTTATTCGTGTGTGGCCTCTGAGATTCGCTAAGATCGCTACGCAAATTTAACTCTAGGAATACAGCAGGGCGAACGAGCGCCAAGGCGCGAGCGCGACTACCAGTAAATTTAGTCCACACTTACGGTAATGCCCAGTTCTTCACCCTATTCTTTATCCCTGCATTTTTTTTCCGCTGCAGGCATGTGGTATCTCCAGCGATTCGAAAACACCGCGTCCCTGAAGCAGATGATGCTTGCTGACAACCAAGACGTCCGTAAGACCTACCTCTACCGTCTAAGCAAGGACAAAGGTGCGACGAATAGTTCAGCACGCAAAACACTTATGTTTTTTTTTGCTTTGAAGCTTGATAAATGGTGAAGTGTGTAATTAGGTGTACGTGCCAGATCAGCTGACAGTACATCCCTCGTATGTGTCCTCCCCCCCCCCTTCTTTGCTCATTTTTATTTGCAAAACACTATTTCGTTCGGCTGCAGTTTCCTCATTTGCCGCCGAAGTGGTATTTCGACAAAAAAAAAATACGGTGGTGCGCAAAAGAATCATAACACGGAGAAGGGAACACGAAACACGGCACGACTATCTACTTGGAGTTTATTGAACCAACAAACAAATATATGTGCGGTTAGATGAACATGTGCTAAAATAGTCGCAGTTTCGCCGCAAGGGCGAAGCAATTAATGCGATAGCATTTGATTGATTTGATTTCATTGATATGTGGGGCTTAACGTCCCAAAACCACCACATGATTATGAGAGACGCCGTAGTGGAGGGCTCCGGAAATTTCGACCACCAGGGGTTCTTTAACGTGCACCCAAATCTGAGCACACGGGCCTACATTTCCGCTTCCATCGGAAATGCAGCCGCCGCAGCCGGGATTCGAACCCGCGACCTGCGGCTCAGCAGCCGAGTACCTTAGCCACTAGACCACCGCGGCGGGGCCAATGCGATAGCAACAACTTGAAATGTAATGCTGATAACGGCAAGTAGATTGAAACGTGCAACGCGCTGCTCACGCACAAATTACGCACGAAAACAACATACAAAGGACGAGAGCGAATTAATAACGTTTACCGCTCGACACTTTAAACGCTGTTTAAAAAAAAACGACGCATGAAACGTAATCGCAAGTACAGCAGAGTGAAAACTAACAAGTGTCCCAGTTGTTATACTTCACTGTGTATGAAAAGCGCGCTCTTTTCGCAAACGGGGCCTGTGCAGCGAGCGAAGTTGCCTTTGTGGGCCCGGCAACTAACACAATCGTTCCGTGAAAGTCGAAGGCACGCGATTCTCCCCACCGAAGTATAAGCGCGCGCGCACCAGCATCTAACCTCCCCCTCCTCCCGATTGCGGGGCAATGTACACGCGGGAAATGAGCGTGCATCAGCACATCGTGACGAGCTGGGCGCCGAGCGCGGGCGGCCTCAAGATTCGAAGCAGCTCTTTAAGTAGCCTGTGTGAGCTGGGCGCCAAACGCGGGGGGGGGGGGGGGCTTCTAGATGCGAAATAGCTCTTTGACTAGCCTGCGTAACGCTGTCCCTCCGTCCCCACCACGTTCCCCTGGTAGCAGCTGTTGGGGCGGTGCCAAGAGTGTCGCAGTGCGCGCGCGTTGACGTCACTCTCTCCCTAGCCTGTTGCCGCGTGTCATCTCTCGTGCTTTGCCCCCTCTCCACCACTCGCAACATTCGAGCGCACATCGAGTTTAAGCACTCTTCCGGCTCGTTTATCTGCCATGAAACTTGCACGAAACCCAACCCGCCTCCCGTGTCTTTGTGCTTCAAGGAAACCTTTACTCGAGGAAAGGCTACACCGAGTTTCCCTTCAAACCGTTCTTCAAGCACCCGCGTTGACGTCCGTTTCAGCCGACTCAACGGCGTGCGCACCACTGCTGCTTCGCATCCCATTATGGTCCCCTTCGGGGAGATGGTGCATACTTTTTTTTTTACTTCTCGAGTTTTCATATATATAGATACGTATACATATACGGTGATTGACGGCGGCATCAAAAAACCAGCCGTGACTGTCCATACAATTGCTATCTCAATTGATTTGATTGATTAGTGGGGTTTTAACGTCCCAAAATAACCATATGATTATGAGAGACGCCGTAGTGGAGGGCTCCGGAAATTTCGACCACCTGGGGTTCTTTGATTGATATGTGGGGTTTAACGTCCCAAAACCACTATATGATTATGAGAGACGCCGTAGTGGAGGGCTCCGGAAATTTCGACCACCTGGGGTTCTTTAACGTGCACCCAAATCTGAGCACACGGGCCTACAACATTTCCGCCTCCATCGGAAATGCAGCCGCCGCAGCCGGGATTCGAACCCGCGCCCTGCGGGTCAGCAGCCGAGTACCTTAGCCACTAGACCACCGCGGCGGGGCACCTGGGGTTCTTTAACGTGCGCCCAAATCTGAGCACACGGGCCTACAACATTTCCGCCTCCATCCGAAATGCAGCCGCCGCAGCCGGGAATTGAACCCGCGACCTGCGGGTCAGCAGCCGAGTACCTTAGTCACTAGACCACCGCGGCGGGGCTATTGCTATCTCAATAAAAACCATCAGCGGACATGAATAGTCTCAATGACGCGCTTCCAGAAAGCCCATCTCAGGGGCAAGTAATGTGACCGAGGGTTTCGCAACACGTGAATCGCCCGCTTTGTTGATCAGATACGTGTCTTCGACTTCACGTGCTACCCTATCATCGAACTGCGATTTCATTGCCAATTTCACTGTGCTATCGCCCTTTTGCGCACTACCATGTTAAGATGAATTACCGATTCGCCAGGCAGTCCGCACTTCTTAAAGATATACAGCCAGTTACACGTCGTGAAAACCACCGGACCGCAAAGCTATAACTGTGTAAGTGTTTGTGATTGGCTACCGCGATCACGTGGTGTCGTAAACCCGCCGCTAGATTAGTGATACGCGCGCTTACACTTGACAATGTGCAGAGATATTACGCAACCCTGGCAATGCCGTTTTCTTAATAAACGCCTAGGGTCACGTGACTTGCCGCCGGAGCAACCCATATGCACCAATGCAGGTGCCTCAGTTTATTACAATTAACATTAGGTATACAATCAACGTAATTAACCTAAGTGCGAATTCCCTTTCTGGCCTCATCATTTCGAGCATCATCATCTTTATCAACTCGTTTAATGTATTTCTTTATTCACCCCTCTTCTGGTTTACTACTACTACTACTTTTTATGCACCCCCTCCTGGTCACACAACTACTACTACATGCTAAATCTCTCCAAATGTTGTACGCCATGGTGGGGTTAAGAAAATGCTTCTTCCTCCGTGGCTATAACGGTGACTTCCATTTTCTGATGACTGATAACCGATGACGTTTATTCATTTTCGTTACACCAAAGTAAGACATAATTGGCTAATCGACGGCTTGCGTTGGCTAGTCATTTTTATTCAACCGCAATCTAAACTTACTTTCAGAGGACTAGAACTGTAGTTAATCTGCAAAGAAAACTATTCCGCATTAGTTTTTTTTTTTCTTGCATGTGACTAACAAGCCTTATTCGGTTGCTCTTGGCTACCTTTCACTAATTTTTTTACTTTTTAATTCTTGCTTGCGAGTTAGTTATATGTGCATTATTTTGTATACGTTCGCGCTTTTATTTTTGTACTGCTCAGAAAGTACTTGTTGAACTGTATAACATTATTTTTTGTTTAGTGTCTTTAGTTTTGATGAATTCTCGATTTCATTTGCTTAAGGTGATTGATTTTCATGTATGCTTTCATGTTTGCAAATGTCGTTTTTCTGCTGCAGCTGTATGGTTAGAACGGCCCAGCCAAGCAATCTTCACCTTTAGCCGTGTCCCTTAGGACGATTTCCATATTCTAGATAAACAAACAAATAAGTAAATAAATATGAGTACCATAACTACCACGCAGGCCTGGCTCATTTCAAGAACATCCTGCTGGTTGGTTCAGCGGACGACTACATCGTCCCGATCCACTCGGCGCACATCAAGTTGGCCAAGCACATCGTCAGGGACACCACAGCCCTAGGTGAATATTTTAACGACCCTAAATTCCTAGACTAAAAAGCGAAGATACTTAAGAATATTGCTTCGCAAAGTGACTGAATAGGCTATTTGGTGTATAAAAGCAGACTAGGAAGTAATGAAATCGCTCCATTGAAATTACATAATTACATAACTTTATTGATGTCATAAGTTTGCCATAAATTACTTTTCAGAGCTCGTAATTTAGTAATGTAGTGAATTACTTTGAGCTGGTAATTTCAGGTATGTTATTCCTTACTTCCCCAGTTACCTTTGAAATATAGCATGTCAACGTCCTTTACGGTGACCAAAACCAATGGGAAAGAAAAATAACAAAAACATGTCAAACTGACCGCTCGGCCATCGGAAACTAAACACATATATTTGAGATTTCAATGCATATGCGTAATAAGCAAAACACACATTAGTTTGGCATTATAATGAACTTTTGCTAATTTAATTTCAATACCTTTGGCCAGCTATAATTTGAATTGCAACTTATTACTGCTTAAAAAAGGTGGACCTTTTCATCTTATGAGAGTAATCCGAATACCTTTTTTTTTTTCGGCTCAACGCCTCTTCGATTTCTGTACTACATGGTACGTTTTCATCGAAGAGCACAATCACACACAAAGCGGTTGACTAATGCTGCGTGGCAATGCTTTGTTACTGAGACGAAGTTACCTTGACTTTGGTAAAGCGACCAGTGTACGTTTTACGTCAAGCGTGCCCCCGCGTGACGAATTGAAGAAAACACTTCTGCCATAAAACTATAGTGAACTATACGGAAAACCATAGGCGCTCACAAGGTTCCTTTTTTTTTTGGGGCGGGGGGGTATTTCACAGTGCCCTCCTTCCTATTATGTCAATGTATGGGGCTGACTATGCCTCCCCCCCTTCTCACAGTGAGCACAGCTCTGCGAATGCCTATGTGCAAAAAGCTACATCCAATCAGATAGTTTCCTGAAAGCGAGTGAAAAGACATAACTGTGAGTTCGAAAGAATGTTCGCGCACACTGCGATGTCTCGACACTAAACACTTAACGTCAGAAGGCGCGGCGAAGCAGTTTTACCTACACACAGTAACTCTAGATTGAACTAAAACTATTTAATTTCACCTGAACGCAGATTTAGTTTGTCAAAGGGTAAAATTTCTTAGTGTGTCCCAAAACTGTACTTGATCTCAGCTCGAAAGGTGTCTCTATCGCTGGATGACGTTGTCACTACTACGCATGCGCTACATGGAATGACGTCACGAGCAAATGACAGCTGTTCTAGCAGCTGCGGGGTCACTGGTTGCCATGGCTACGGCGCGGCTGAGTTTTCCTGAAACACGCACCTTTTACGGCTCGTTTAAGCAGCTTCACCGCAAAGATACTGCCAAGTCTTGTATCAACCTGAGTAAATCAATACAACAGCTTTTGTACAGTCGGTTGCACTTGAAAAATTTGAGTAAGTTCAGGAAGCGCCCCTTCCTAACGCCACTGCATTGGGTTCACAGGCGCTGCCTACAGGGAAATGCTGCGCAACATCCTCAAGCCGCTCATCGACAAGCCGGACCTAAACCTGGTTCGGCTGGAGGTGCACGTGCCGTTCCGAAGCTCGCTCATCTCCTCCAACGTGCACATCGCTCCGCTGGACAGCGAGATACTGGCCCAGAAGATCGTTCTCGTCGCGTGCGCCAGGCATCTCCTCTGAGCCAGTTACTGAGCTCGGACGACGACCAATCCAACGACAGAAGCACCCTCTGGCATGCGGGTCCACAGTCACACATACACGCACGGCACACTTTTTGCGTGAAATCTGCTGTGTCATGCAAGAAATTAACATGCTGAACAAGGTAGATGACAGCGCATGAACCAGTTTCACAATCGATTAGGACTGTCGATGGATTGATGCTCACGTGTACAGTGCAATTCTATGACAGCAGTATTAGCATATACGTCGATATTTTAGCGTATACTTAGTGCACATGTGTAGACTAATTGCGTGACCTTGGGTGACCAATTAGTCATCTCATCATTGCCGGTTGCGGTATTTGCTACCTCTCTGATAGAAGCGTATGCATCTACAAGGTACGCTGTAACGAAATTAAACTATCTTCTACTGAGGTGTACTTCAGCTGGCCTATGTCAGTGTCTTGAATTTGGCTGGTTTGTACATTACTGAATTTTTACACAATAAAAAAAAAGATGTAAGAAACAAGACTAAAATTATAAGTCACTTCATATCAAAACAAAAACAAAAAGAGCAGGGAAGTAAAAAAAACAGTACAAAATCAACAGTCACTCATAATTGGTGACCAACCAAGGGATTCAATACCAAGCCTCATGCATAAAAGCACCAATTAATCTGCTCTCATGAGTGACATTTCCTAAATGTGTGAATGTAAATAGCTGGTGCATCTGCACCAGTTATCTCTGCATTACCTAGCAATACGTTTGCCACTGACACGAGGTAATGAAGGTAATAAAAAGTCTTTATCACACGTTCTACGTTGCAGTTCTCCATGTTCAATTCCCTGAAACTGCCCTTAAAACTTAAAAAAAAAAAGCAATAAAGTACAAGCCCGTGTCTCACCAATTACTGGGAGCACATGAATTGTTTTGAGCCAAAAATGACTTAAAGAGCACTAACGCAACATTTTTACGCTAAAAATAAGGCTACCATGGTTCACAGATAACGTGGTGACAATTGCAAGAACTAAACCGATGTGCAAGCAAAAAGGCTTCACATGAAGGCAATGTTTCTTTATAATCACAAGCAATCTACCAGTCTGTCACTGAATGCTCAATAATGACATGTTTCGCACTCTGTGGCTACTCGGGGCACTAAAATGTGACACAACACGACAGTCAGGAAAGAGAACATGACACACCAAGTCTCGCGCAGGGCAGCATTAAACATCCGTTTAATGAAGCGCAACAAGTGCATACATGAATCACACACATCGAATTTTCATGAGGACACCTACTTATACAATACGCGTCACACGCACACACACATAATGCATCCCTCCACTGAGCACGCTCGTGCAAGCCAGCGACATGCCTCTAACGCCGAGTAACAAAGCCGCACTCCTGTAAATGACTAGTTGACGACCAACGGTGACAACAGAAAAAAGCGAGCCACGATTTTTTAAAGATTGTTTGCTGAACACTCTGGTTGGTGAGGCCCGCCAAAATTAAACATGGAACGAGCAAAATGGCACATGAAACCTTGGCTTTAAAACGAGCATCCCTGCACACCGATACACGGCGGAGTGGTGTCTGACCAACATGTGGTACACAACCATTCCGGAGCTCAAAAACTTCCGGAGTACAAAAAAAGTCCAACCTCGAGCTTCGGAGTCCTTCGCAGTTACATAGATGCGAGTGTTTTGACGCTACTGTATTGCCGACACGCAACCACTGGCTTCTGTAGGTCACATTTCAGTATGGTGTAGTAATGAGACAATTACAGAAGAGAATCTTGGAGAGGGAATGAAGGATTTGTGTGCACTTCCTTATGTTACACCAAGTGCCGTGTCACAGTTAGGGCTGGACAGAGGCAAGTCGACTTCCCCATAATTTTCATCAGTGCCTCAATCAGCAGGAAGCTGTCCCAGTGTTGTCTAAAACCGTCGGCAACCTACTTTGCCAATATAACGCAACGGGCTGCAACCTTTAGTGCTAGCACAGCAAAAATGGCTGTATCTTAACACCACACTCCCCACAGAGACAGTAACCTGACTCCCACCCCAATTCTTTCCTCTTCCATATGACACCTACTTGTAGGGCTACTAAAATCCTCCATAAGATAATGAAATTTCATTTGGCTAAAGCGAAATTCACTACATTGGAATGCAATTCAAAAAGAGCACATGCCCACTATAACAACACCTATACACAACAGTGTTAGGTTATAAAAATTTAACTTTTTGACTGCCCAGGTAATGGCCATTTATTTGTGTAGTGATTTGTCACCTCGCTTTGCTTCCCGCCACATCCACTCTTGTCAGACCCCTGGCTTAAGTGAATGAGCGACGTTGCATCAGCCTGCTCTCGCCAAGGAGTATGCCTCCACTGCCTGGGGCTGCATGTTTTTGAAATGTCTACATTAATTAACACTTGTATTTAGTCATGTTCTACATTGCCCAGTTGCAGCTGTAAACATTGCACAAATCTCGTATGAACATTGCCTCAAGCTTTTACATGGTGCACCATTTCCCTTAAAGCCTGGAATTGTAGGCATGACTTGAAACCGGCATACTCCTGATTAGCTTCATGTAATTACAGGGGTGAACAATGTGAACTAGAACGCCCAGTTCGCATTGAAAAGCACCCATACTCCTGGCACTTAAAAACCTGCTTTCTTTGATAAAAGGGACCCATACGGTGACCACAGACAAGTGATGTCTTGAATCGCACTCCTTCAGCAGCGGTCGTTTGCGTGTCAAGGTGTTCTCATTTATATTGTACCACTCTGTACTATCATCAAGACAGGTGGAATCGTCAATTTGAAGCATGCAAGTGGCCATGGTATCACTCCCCTGCATATTGTACTGACGGTGGAGCGGAAAAAGTCTTGGCTGTACAATGACCTTAAACGGTCAACGACCTGCACAAGATGAGAGCCAATAGCCACAGTTGACACCAATAGCCACAGTTGACATACAAGATGTAGATAAACTTGTACTGTCAAACTAGTACTGCTACTTGGTAGGTAAGGGTAGTTTTCACAACCAAGTTTACCGTTTGGGCATTTAAGAATGTGGCTGATTAAGTGAAGAACAGTGGTGACAAGAGATGGGAAGGAAGTTCGACGTGAAAGACTACATGAAAATGGTAATAATATTCAGGATGACTAATTGTTGGACAGAAAACTGAATTGCCACATTAAATTGCAATTCGTTACCAGTGAAACAAACTGCCTCTAAGAGATTTGTTTAACCAGAACGTCACTTCAGGGCAGCCTGACCTCTTCAAATATATAATAAAAAAAATTTCATACTGCTGAACATGAATTATATTTTTTTTTCATTAGAGTTACTGTACCCACTGTTGAAAGAGTGTTATTGTTTAGATATTCAAGTTATGAAAAAGATTATTGAAAGACAAAAAAATGGGAAAAAAGAATGCAACCAAGTCAGAAGCAAGAACGTTTAAAGCAGAAATATTTACTAAAATTATATTTAATGGTTCTGAAAATGGCACTTCATTTTGCTTGTGTTTTTCAGAAAGATTAATCACAAAAGAGAATTTTCTATAGTCAGCATTATGTACACACATTCAGTTACGCTTTAAAGCACCTCTGTGTCTATAAGTCAGGAAAGTAGAGATGCAGACCTCATGCTACTGTATTTAAATTTCACAGTTTGGAAGTTTTAATTTATTAGAAGGTGGAACAGACACTGCGATATCACTTTATGAACCTAAAATGCAGTTTCCCCAAATTCAGGCAAGTACTGCTATACGGAAGCCCTCCTGCCTCTAAAATGCATAAAGATTACTGTAAGGGCAAAATTAAAATTTCCACTTTCAAAATAGAACATTATATTATGAGGGATATGAAAAAACAAAACTTCCTAAATTGTTCTGGCTTTTAGGGAATGGACAAAGAGAAACTCTGAAATGTGCTTGTCCACATGACTGGAGCCCATCTTCCCTAATGAAGCCACCAACTTATTGATGTGTGGCGTCAATGTATGCCATAAATGCAGTACATCACACGTCAAGGCATGACATTGCGCCTTAACGTACATACTTCTGGCTACTCATGTTGGTTCATCACATCATAAAATAAGCTTTCAAAACTTGTGTTTTATATTTAAAGGGACACCAAGGGCAACTATTAAGTCATTGTTGATTGTTGAAATATCAGTCCAGAAACTTTGTAGTGCTACTTTTGTGCCAAGGAAGGGCTTATTTTTGAAATAAAGTCACGTTTTAGTGGCCCACATCAGGTTAGCGCACTTCAAATTACCCTCCTCAAGAAGCGAACCCACTTGCGTCACTGTTGCTGTGCACAACATTGCCTGGCTTTACTGCACAGTTGCCAACACTAGTAGACAGAACAAAAGCAGCGGAAGCCACAGCAGCAACAAAAGCCATTGATCAATTTCCTGCTATTGGCTCCGAGAAGGCAGACTTGTTTTAGTTCAACTGCACCCCGCTAGATGGCATGATCTGTCCAGTTTAACTCCGTGAAAATTTAATTTTTGAACTACTCGGGCCATTCCCCATAATAACGTCCAGCAGTTATTTTTTCCATGAATCAAACAGAAACGAACAAGCAACACTTCATTGCGTCTCTTTATGCATGGAAGGTTCTTCAGCTAAATCGATTACTAGTAATTAATTGTAGGCGACTGGTCTGATGTCATCAGTATCATTTTGAGAATTTCCTACTGCGGCGCATGTATTCTTGTGCATTTACCTTAATTTCTCAGTAAGCAGGGCGCTGCTGTTGATAATATTGTCATTCTAGATGTTGTCATATGTTGAGCTTTCACTCTGACATAAGTTGTTATTTGACTTTAGTGTCCCTTTAATAGCACTACCGGCATGTACCCTCCTATTTTCTTTTTGGGCATGTTCGTTGCACAGGAGACGCTGCTCACGAAATTCCGTACACTATCCATACTGGAAATAAACGTTCACATCAGAAGTTAGTGCCTGCGTTGTGTGTCCTCTTTTGGTGTCGCTGTTTATCCAGCA